ACACAAATGTACATACATATAGACTTAGAGCCAAACAAGCAGCACCAGACATGTTTTGGCATGCAATTATTTGCGTTATTTGATAGTTTTTGCTTTGACTATTCCAGGCTTCATGGTCACAATGGGGGTCTCTTGGATTTCCCATTTAATTCCATTCCAGACCTTATTTGCTCTGTTATCCTATGGGCTACGCGTACATCCAGATGAAGGAAACAGTAAGAGTATTCGACATCGATTTTCTATGCTAAGTTTTCCCCAAAATTTGTTTGTAACAATAAATGTAATTGCATTTTTGGCTTTCAAATTTGCATTGATTCCGAGAATAATTTTTGTCTCCTGTTTCCTTTTTTTTTTTCTTAATGTTCGCCAGCAACAGACGACACAAGGAATTGCAAATTTAAATGCCGCAGCAGCTGCAACTGCTTATGGTAATTATAGTACGTCCGACTGTCCCTGTCCCTGTCCCTGTCCGGCCGACCATCCGTAGGGCTGGCTGGCGCTTTTTGTGGCCACTGGCCAGCAATTTAGTCACACCAACTGGCAACTAATAATGCAAAACTCACTTTATAACTTTCAATGACCAACAGGAGAACACAGGCAGAACACAGTGTGGCGGTGTGGCGGTGTGGAGGTGTGGAGGTGGGGTGGACAAGCAAGGACTACTATGGCGACCAAAATTGAGTGCCGTCTGTGAACAGCTGGAAACTTATGAAAGTTGTTTGCCAAACAACAATAAAATAAATTGCGTGAAGCGCGCAAAGGGACGGACGGTAGGAAAGGGCCTTCCTTCTGTTCGAGTTGCCCCTGCTCTTGCCCCTGCCTCACGGGTTAAGGTGTGTGTTTGTACTGTACTGTGGCAGGGGCTGCCAACTCGTGTCAATTGTCATTTCGTACTACTCGTAGAAGCTGTGCTCTGTGCTCGGTGCGCGGTGCTGCCTTCAACTTGACTTTGTCTTTGCCGACTCGAAACGCAACGCCTTTATGGCCATTGTTGTAGCTGCTTGTTCCTGCTTCACTGCTGTCGTGCCTGCTGTGATTTATATGGCTCCTGACTTCCACCCGAACTGTGTGGCTTCTCAGAGAGTGTGGAAAAGGGAAAAAGGTGTAAAGAACTTTTTCCTTAGGCATCTCAAATTTTATGAAGTTCGCACAGCGGGCTATCAATTTATATATATTGTCGGAGCAATCTCGTTTTATTATTAAAAATCACTGAGCTGGAAGCATCAAAGCGGAACTTGCATTCACAGTCAGACCAGATATGGATATGGATACATACATACATACAATGTATGCAAATATACTATACAAATATTTAAACATGTATCTGTTGATGGCACAATTATGGTAATGTACATACGAGTATGTAAATGTTGAAAGCCGCCACAAAAGAGTTTGGAGTGCGAGTATCATAACTTTAAAGCACGCGGGAAGGTCTATTTGCATATAATTTTTTGTGGGCCTTTCAGCGGGGCTGAGCTCCGTCCGTTTCAATTACCATCCATCCACCGAAAAGAAGCCATAGGGCCCCTGGAGGAAGCTGTCGTCTCTTCATTTGTTTATTCGACTCTCCATTGCAGATGATTGCACATGACCCCTCGCCGTATCGATTGCCAGATGCTCCGATTCCCTCGCTGTTATCAATGATAACAAAGAAGAGAGAAAGAAAGCACTGGCACTGGCACTGGCACTGGCCCTGGCACGAAGCACTGGCGTATCAGCATTATAATAAATTGTGTTCCTTCAAGCAGCTGCGGCTTGGCTGGAAAATGCAAAAAGCGAAATTCGTACAGAGCTTGCAAAAAAAATGTCCAGTAAGGTTTCTCTCTTTCTTCGTCGTTTTCCTCCCCGTCAACTGCGTCCTGTGTTGCGTTGCCTCTCCTTTTCGCATCCGATTCGGATTACGTTGTGGCAAATGCAAAATACTTTCGCAGCCAGGAGCGGTCCAAAGTCCAGGCACCAGGGTCTGTAACCAAGTTGGATTGCATCCAAAGCCGTTGAAACTGTTTAACTTTTTGCGCCGGCTTCGGCTTCGGCTCCGGCTCTGCTCTCAAATAAATATTTATGGAAAAATGTTAATTCGTCGCGCTTTAATCTAAATGTTAATTTCTAGTCGCGAATAAATCACTTTGCAGCCGAGTTGGCAGCACGGCGGGTGCGTAGGGCGCTGGAATTGAATCGAATCCTCTCCACTCCACTCCCTTGCCACACGACTCCGCCTGTATTTGACTCTGCGGCTGTTAGATTAATTAGAGCACGGAGCAGAGCGCAACAAAATGCTCCTTGGTGACCTATTGTCGGGTACGAGTTCAAGTGTGAGAGTGTCTGCCAGCCACTCAAATATTTGAGCTTTTGCTGCAAAGAAGTGTCGTCGCCAGGAGTGAAGTTTTAATTAGCGCCATGACCACACAGCCAGTAGGTAATTAGGCGACTCTCGATTAGCGTTCCCAGAGATCTCAACGAGGTCTGACCGCAGGCGCTCACTTGAGGGAACTTTTCGGAAGCGCTCTTTAATGTCCCTTTGAGCGGGCTGCTCTACACCCATTATGAAGTGCAATTTGCGAATATACTTGCATCCAGGCCGTGTCTGCCCGTATGGGGCACATTCGGTAAAGGATTCAGCAGCCCAATTCCATGTGGCATTTCATATGCTACGAATATTTACGCAAAGAGCCTGCGGCACTTTCCAGCTCATTATGAATGTGCTTTTTGAGAGGGAGAGACAGAGAGTGCAGCAAGCCGTGAGCAGGGGGAACATTAATCAAATATGAAAGCACATGACCGATATCAGCAGATATATACAAATGTATCTCCTGACAGCTGTCATGTTTGTTCAACCAGCACAGAACTATAATTGTACCGTGAGTTGAGTCTTGAGGATGGGACTTGAATGTCGGTTTTCGGTAAGTGATAGCCATAGTATGTATGGCTCGGTTGAAATGTTTCCATATTACATTAATACTGGATTATTCCCAATCGATTAACAGTGTGGTGATTAATGACATCTTCAGCTTCTTTTACGACTTGCCACAAGTGTCCAAGCGCTTACCCAAGAACTCAATTATGCCCCTTCCCGTTGGTCTCTGGGATTCTATTCCCTGTTGGTCTCCCGGAGCAGGATCCACTCGTATGAGTAATTGCTCTCGAGTTTTGCATACAAATTGTCAAAGAAATTTGATTCTTTATGGCCCCACACAAAAGTTGAATGTTTGATATGGAAAAATTTGTCAACTATGCAGCCGAAAGAGTATGGCCAACTTTAAAGCCAGCGAATTCTGCAAATAAATGACATAGATAACTTTATGGCCACCAGTGCACTTTGTCTCCAACCCGACACGGACACGGGCACGGGCACGGACACGGAGCACACACATACAGCGGGGGGCCAAGAGGCAGGGGAGTTCAAGAGTAGTTAGCCCCGTGGCTTTGGAATGCATTTAACATCCGGAACAGAGCAGAGCAGTGCTGTGGGGCAGGGCCCGAGCTCGTTTTTTATGACTGTGGAAGTAAGGGTAGCGACGAGGTCAGGAAGAGGACGAGGCAGGTTTTGAGCTACGTGACATGCATAGTTCATTGGTTTTGACCCGAGCACGGACAGAAAATATTGCAGTTGTGATATGTTTGAGCTGGCTCGGATATCCGAGAATGCCCTTTTCCGTGTTCCATGCTCCATGTGTCCAGTAGCTGACACACTCCTCACGGTTCTCACAGCTCTCACAGCGCTCACAGTTCCCGGCTCCGATTCTCCCCCCCCCCCCCCCCCATTTAGTTCCATTTCCTAAACTGAGAAACTTTTGAGGTGCTAATGAAAATTGTGCAACTTTTTCAACACAGATCGGAAACGGATATGACACTAGATTGGCATTCGCATCCGCATCCACTCCTGCATGCCACATCCGCGTGCGTCTAATTGCATGTGCTCCAATGATACGAGAACCAGAACAGTTGGTGTCTTAAAGTTGCCTCAGTTGAAAGTTGAGTTTCAGCTAAATGCGAGTTTTATGTCGTACACGAGGGCCAACAAAAGCAGGGTGTATTAATTTTTTGGGACTTGCAAACAAGCAAAACCAATTTGCAACACAAGGAGGAGACAGGCCCGAGCAGTAGCTGTGGCAACCACAGCAGCCAGCAGCAGTTAATTTTAATTACGCACACACGGCCGTGCCGCACGGTGTGGCTGCGACACGGGGGGCGTCTCAATTTAGACACATTTCCCAGCAGTTTCCCCGCCAAATTGCCATTAAATGTGGGGCCCGGGGGCGGAGGACCTGGGCGTGGCTGTGAATAAACGACAATTGGGTTTTTAGCGGCCATGTGTGGAAAATGAGCTGGCGGGAAATGAAGCTTCCTGCAATCGTTTGAAGGTGCTCCCGAACAAAACAAAACAAATTAATTTCCAGGCAAAATGTGGTGACAAAAATGAAACAAACACAAAGCTCATGCGTGTAAAAAGTCAATTACTAAGTACTCCCACTCCTTTGCCAAATTAATTTCACTTGCGATTCTCGCCTACCACTCCCACAGTGCACTCCCACCTCACTTATGGGCTAACGGCATTTCAGTCAAACGTTCAAAGCGGCTGCTCTTTCGCTTGCTTTGGCAAAAGTTTAGGCGAAACAGTTATTTGTTGTGCCTCTCCCAGTCACTCACTCACTCTCTCGCGCAGATGAATCGCAGCTTTGGCCAAGGTAGGTTTGTGTTCAAGGTAAAGCTCACTCCCACTCTCCTGGGTTGCCTTTCGCATTCTATAACACGCAGCGACGAAATAGTTTTACTCTGTGATATTGGCTCACCTGGTATGAGTGTACCTTGGCTGTGGCTGCAGCTTTCGCTCGTCGCCTCCCTGCATGATGCTCCCCTAGGAAGGAGTAGCTGGAGGCTACTCCTTCCTAAGAGCTTAAGAACCTAAAAATAGGCCTGCTCACTCGGTTGACAATACCTTATTATTCGTGTACTTTGCCCCCCTCCACAGCAGACAGATCAAGACAGTTAAAGACTGGGAATTGCATTTTACACAATAGTATTCGTAATTTATTTAAAATGTTCGTCTCCTTACATACATTGCAGCTGCTTACACACTCGTACTACATATATCCTTCTGTGTGTTCGATATATTAAATGGATATGACTTTCAATTGCCCTCGAGAAGCAGGGGCTTCTTTCGTTTCGTTTCGCTTTTCTTTACTTTTCGTTTCTCCTAACTAATTATGTATGTATCATAACTGTTTTGCAGCTTCCTTCCTTTTGCAACATTTATTTTGATAGAAGAATTAATATCCTGTATATGTATGTATATATTTACTGTGGGTAAGTGTGTTTGGTTTAAACATTTACATTTATGCAACTTTGATTTGCAACCATAATACATAAATACCTGTAATTAGCATTTGGATAAGTATTCGTTTATATATTTGGTACAAGTACAAGTGTGAGTACCAGAATTATTCTGTTTAAAATTCAAGCGAAACGATTACTGAATATTACATATTTTCAAAGTTTTACAATCTGAAGAACAAAATACGAGTATCTACTATATATGTATATATATTGCTTGAGATCAACCTAATCTTTTGCTGAAGAGCGATTCGGGTGGATTCTAGAACATTTTTCGTGTGTGGGCCTGGGCCTGGGCCTGTGTTGCGGGGGGAGAGAGCTCTGACTAAAGCATATACGATAGAATGCAATAAAATATATAGGTACGAGCATAATTTAGCTGTGGAATGAACATATCTAGTAAAATATCGTACTAATTTTGATACCTCTCACTAAGTTAATCTAAATATCACTCGGTTTCTTGATGTTCATGTTATCGTTCTGGTTTTTCTTCATGTTGTTTGAATTTGGAATTTTTCTAGCACATTCTCATTATTCAATTCACGTTGGATGGGTGTTCATAATACTAAATTAGGGCTGCCAACTCGATCCAAGAGTGTCAATAAAATGGCGTCGGATGCTCTATCTTTACACCTCCTCGTAGCTGCGGCATTTGGGGAGCGGGCCTGACCAATTGCCATCGGGCTGACACTTCGGCCGCTCCGGCGGCCCCGTGTTCCGATGGTCCTCGTTGGTCTGGACAAAGCCGGGGCGGCACTGGACGCTCAGATAGTCGCCCGCATCGTAATTGAATTTTAGCGGCGCTATCAGACCGTTGGGCGGATCGCCGGGATACGGACACTGCGACTTGCCTGCACGTTGGGCGAGAGCATGGAGAGCATTGCATGGATGGTCATTGGGCATGCATGGTATGGTTTATGCGAATGCGTATGCGTATGCGTATGTTTGTGGTGATTGGTGATCGGTATCAGAATCGGTTCGTAATCGGTATCGGGATCGCAATCGGTCGATTGGTTCAGCGGAAATACAACACAAGAGTCATTAATTCATTTTGGATGGTGAGTGGGCCCCACTCGGAAGATTGGGATCTCTCGCAGCATCTCTGTGCATATACGAGTATGTGTGTATGTTAGCAGCGGATGTCTACTTACAAAATGGCGGCGAGTGCGACCAGAATCCGTTCTCCGTGCAAATGATGCTCGACTCGCCCACCAGGGTGTGCCCATCGTTGCAGCTGAATGTGACCAGAGCGCCCACGGTCAGCCGCCGCTGACTGAGGCTGGTGCCACCGATGCGTCCGTTGAGCGGCGCCACTGGCATCACGCACTGGATGACTGCGGTACGGTTGTGGCAGGCAGGTGTGGAATCGAATAAACGAATTGTCAGTTGAGTTACGGTTTGGCTTTTGCATCCAATCAACTCGAATCTCCATCAGAATACAGCACTCACCTTTGCAACGCGGAACGGGGCCACTCCAGACGCCCGTCGGCTCACAGTCCAGCTGCGCCGGTCCGGTCAACTTGAAACCCCACTGGCATTTGAACACCGCGCGCCCCCATGCCGAGGTGTTGAGTTCAATGAGACTGAGATGGGGATCGTCGAGTTCGAGGCGCGGACATTGGATGGAGTGGCATGTTGGCGGCGGCGATGACCAATTGCCGGAGGCCAGGCAGGTGGCATTCCAGGCTCCATCCAGCCGGAAGCCCTCGGGGCATTCGTAAAGAGCTCGCTGGCCGAGCTTGTTGCCCTCCAGTCGCAGCTTGAGCGGCGCCAGCGGCTCTGTCAGCTGCGGGCACGTGGAAGTGGCCACCACGACGGCAATGCTGTTCGTCAGTCCGCGCGGCGACGTGCAGGTGAAGGTACCTGAGTCGTTGTTCTCGATATTCTTGATGCTCAGCCGGTAGCGTACTGCCTTCTCCTCCTGCGCCGGCGACCAGCCTGCCGGGTGAAGGGCCCATGTACAAAGAGCTCCTTCCACTGGAGATGGTACTCACCTGTCGAGTACTGCATGTACCAGCTGGTCCAGCTCCACTCGGGGGTTCCCCGCACCCGGGGATACATGCAGTCCATCAGAACAGTACTGTGTGGTGGAACAGCCATCACGCCGGAGGGCTCGAACGAGTGGGAGCCATTGAAGATCTTGATGCGGATGGACGGGGCACTGTCTTCCGAGTAGTTGGTCAGCACGGTGGTGGGGACGCAGCTGGGCATACGGGGGGCCCACAGCCCGTTGGAGCAGAGGACCCGCGACTCCCCGAGCAGCTTGTAGATGCCCAGTTCCTGGCAGCGGGCCTGCAGCGAGTGTCCATGCGGCAGATCCCAGCCAACGTTCTGGGATTTAGCAAGGAAATGTGCCAAGGCAGGACAAGGACAAGGACAGGGGCAAGAGAGGCAGGCACAAGGCGGGAGGAAGGTGTTGGGCGTCAAGCGTGCAGAAAGAGTGATAAAGTGAGAGAAAAACAGAGAGAGAGAGAGAGAGAAGAGTAGAGAGATGTTAGCAGAAAGTCAAATGTGGTCCAGATCTGTTTTGGGGGCGGGGTACTGGATAACAGGATACTCTGGCGTGCATGTCCCCGAGTCTCCGTGTGTCCGAGTGTATCTTTATCTTTATCTCCGAGTATATTTGTGGGTATCGCTGTGCGAGTATCTGTGTGTGTGTGTGTGTGTGTGTGTGTGTGAGAGAGAGTGCATGGGTCTAGACCGTGCATTTGATGCATTCATTCGTGGTCGCAAGCCATAAACAGGACCCACTAATTGGACCCGATACTTCCGGTTGTCGCGTGGGCTTATGTGTGTGTGGTATCTGTGTATCTGTGTATCTGGTGTTTCGTTGACATCTACGGAACGAGCATTCTACACAACAGCATCTATAACGACGACTCACAATTTCTGTATTTGAGAGAAGTGTCGATTTGGATAAGCGCGTTTTACGCCAGCCGCGATTTGGTGGTATCGGTGTCTGCAAGAGAGAGAATCAGAGAGTACCAAAAAAAACAGAACATAGAGAATCGTTGCCTCTTGGGGCATCCGCATGCACGTGATGACGCTGGACTTGACAGAGAGAGAGAGATAGAGAGAGAGATTTGGTGCAGCTGATATGAGGATAGAGATAGTCAGAGAGATAGAGAGAGAGACAGAGAGAGAGAGAGAGCTACAGAGGGCGACGTGACGAGAGAGAAAGTCGAAGGTCGGAGGCTGAGCTCCTCTGGACCAAGCTGATATTGAGATTGAGGCCTACCTAAGCGTAGGGTTCTCCAGAGATCTCTAGGCTTTGGAGAGGGTTCCCCTAGAGATCCATGTACGTGTGTGTGCTTGTGTGGGTGTGCATGTAATGTTGTGCTGTAGCAGTGGCTTTGGTGGTGGTGGTGGTGGTGGTGGTGGCGGTGGCGGTGGTGGTGGGTGGTGCTCTAGTGGTGCCTGTTTTGTGATGCCAGTGGTGCAGCAGCAGCCACAAGCTCGTCGTCCACTTACCACTGAGATGTTCCGATAGCTGAGCAGCAGATGCGACGGTATCCGGTTCACGTGGCAGCTCTTGTAGAGGGGCTGAAACTTCACATTCCCGTTATCATCTGGCGGGACCGATTGTAGTTGGTGGGGGGTGGGGGTGGCAGGGAGGTTGGAGAACATTAAGTGGGCGTCAAATGAAACAACAGTCTGTTGGTTTTGTGGACTCTTTTGTTTCGTGTGTATTTGCATTCGTATAAATGATTTGGCAATTGCTTTTTTTGTGACTTAAATGTACTCGTATAATCTGTAACTGTAGGCTGTAGCTGTAGCTGTAGCTGTAACTGCAACTGTATCTATGGCTATATGTGTCTGTATCTTTTGTGCTGACAGTATGTTCCATTGTGCATTTGTTCGTGTTTATGGCTCACTTACCCTCCTCGTTGGTGGCGCACAGCGGTCCCACCCACTTGCCCTTGACGCAGCGTATCTTGCAGAGCCGACGATCGCCCATGGGCCCAATCTCGCCCGGGAATCGGATCTCGGACACCTCGGTGAACTGCTGCAGGATGTCCACCTCCTCTTCCTCCTCCTCGTCCTCGTCGAACTCGGTGTCGTCGGGATGGACGGGCGAGTAGCCGGCCTCCTCGTCGTAGATGCCTGCAGTTGAGAGTTAGGGGTAGACGAGAAGAACAGAAGGTGTGGGCGTTATGAGATGGGCAATGTAACATGCCAAGAAACGGGGGTAGATAGACATTGAGAGGGCAAATAGAGCAAGCATCTAATGAGCTGTCAAGCGGGATGAGAGATGCGGTATGTGGATGCGGGATGCGGTATGAGGATGACCAATGACGATGCTGAAGGCTGCTGGTTGACAATGAATGATCCCATCCCAATTGCCGTCTAAGTTATCCGCACAAAGAGTCAACGAGTTGACCCAACCACTCCAAAATGAATCTGCCTCCTTCAGCAGGATCAGCCCCATTTCAATGGAGCTGGGGTGGGGCTGTGCAAGCGAGAAACCCTTGAGTCCGCCTCTTGGGCACACACATTAAACCATAGAGGAGCCACGAGACGTGCGAAATGTGCTCCCAACTGAAAATTTCAATGGGAAACTCGAGCGGGTCGGGCTCCTCAGATATGCATTAAAAGAAAACCATAAAGATGGGGCTGGGGTGATGGGGTGGCGGAGTGGCCACTTAACAGGATACAACTTCATTTCTAAGCAAACCATCAAAAAGAGCTCCGAGAAAAGGAGAAGTGAAAAGGCAAAGATAACACGAAGGATAATATTATGCCAGCGAATGGGGCCGGCTAATAGAAAGCAAAAAAAAAGGGAAGAGGACGAGGACCAGGACGAGGTTGAGGAAAAGAACACAGTCACGGACATGGTTACGGTTTCTGCTATAGCTGGCCAGAGCCCACGCCAAACAAAGGCCACAGGGGCAGGGGCAGCAGCAGCAGGAGGCGGGGCAGTACAAAGGGAAATCATTGAGGATTGCAGCACCGTAACAAAGGCCGGAACGGGCAGCCATCCAACAAAGTAAAGTCCGGGATGCCCGTGAACGGACAGGTCGGCTTCTGCTCTGCTCCAAACCACGACAAAGATATAGACGGAGCAAATAAACCATGACCACGCAGCAGGGGGTGTCCAAATGGGGGCAATGAAAAGCTAAAAAGGGCTAGCGTCAGGGTTGGTGATGCGGAGGGGTGATTGGGAGGGAGGAGGGGAAGGATTGATCGGGCAGGTGCCTGGCGCAGGTGTTAAGCAGATGGGGGATGAGCTATGGATGTGGCAATGTGGCTGTGGTTCTGTGCGACTGCGATTAGCTTTTACGAGTATGTTCGAGTATGTGTGTCTGTGTCCTCCACTTTCAACTTCCGTTTTTTATGTGTGTGTGTGTGTGTGTGTGTGTGTGTGTGTGTGTATGTCCAGTGTGTGGCTTTTAGTGCCCTTGCAAAATGGCGGCAGAAATCTGAACTTTTAAATATTCTGTAAAGGCTAAGTGAAAACGGAAATACTTTCCGTCTTTCAACTGTGGGTCTTCCATCAGTCTTGAAGGTTTTGATGCTGAAGATCTGGATATAGCATGTCTTCGTAAAGACTGCCACAAAGCGGACCAGGAATAAATCTAATGAGATAACCATTTAGAACCTCTCACTCTTGCAAGGGCATTAGAGGCTCTGGCGTTGGCCAGAGACGCGGATCGAACTGTATTTGCTCTCTGTGTGTTCCACTCAATCGATCGATCTGGTGGATAGATCTGGGCACAACACAGACGGACAGACAGACAACGAGACAGCGACAGCGGCGGCAAATTCTTTGTAAGCATTGGGCACTGTGGCATTGCCAGTGTCTGGCCGCTATGTGGGCGCACACACTCACCCTTGTCCTTGCGACTGGTGGTCTTGGAACTGGAGTCGCCACCACCTTTCGGACGGCTCAGTGCACCCGTGGTCTTGCCCGACTTGCGCTTTACACGTTGCAGGGCCACTGCTGCACTGCTCGACTGATTCTCGTAGCGATATTGGGACTGGTTCTCCTCCGCCTCTGCCTCCGGCTCCGCCGCCGTCCCCGCCGTTTGCAGCTGCAGCTGGCCAAGATCGCCCTTGGCATCGATGCTGCGACGGCTGCGCCAACGCGGATTCAGGTCACGCTGGTCGAGCTCTGCATCGTGACTGTCACCGCGTCGGCGATGATGGCCAGAGGTCTCTGGCTGGACAATTTCCAACTCCTGCGGCTGCTGCTGCTTCTGCTGCTGCTCTTCCTGCCTTCGTTCCGCTTCTGGCTGCTGCTGTTCCGCCTTCCGTTCGACCTTCTGCTCCGCCTCGGACGTGGAGGGGGAGGGTTGCTCCAGCCTGTTCTTCTTCTTTGCCTTGAGCTTGGCGCACTGCTCCTTGTTGCCCTCCGCGAGGCACTTCCGCATCTTGGCCTTCTGCTTGAGCTTGTGAAGCTTGGAGCGCAGCGCCCGACTCGGCTCGCGGCTCTTCAGGATGTCGGCAATGTGCACGTAGTAGACATCCCCCTCGGCGGCCAGCTTGCTGCCGGCCCAGCGATCCGTGTCCGACGAGGCATCCGCATCATGGAGAATGGCATGCCGCTTGTATCGACTGCCGCGGCCCCGTCCCGTCTGTCCATTGTCATTCTCAATACGGCGCCGTCGCCCGGAGCCGGAGCGACGCTTCTTTCCCTGCTTGCGGTTGTTGTTCGTGCGCTTTTTCCCCTCTTCGGTGCCCGTGCCCGTCTCCTCCTCGTCATCCAGCTCGTCTTCGTCGTCCACCAGGCTGGCAGCCGCATCTCCGACATGCAGATGCTCATCGCCCAGGTCCAGGGAGTAGGGATTCACAATGGCTGCGTGGTTCTCGCTGGGATTGCGGGCCACCGAGTCGACAAACTCCACATCGGCGGTGGTGAAGTCCTCGGGCAGGTATACCTGCGTCGTCTCGAACTTGGCATACGGCTGCTCCGTGGTCTCATCCGGCTTGACAATCGTGAAGCGCACATCCGGCGCCCGGCAGCCAGGAGAAGCATCTGCAAAGGAGAAAGAGAGAGAGAGAGAGATATGTAAGTATGTACATCTGAAGGGCTGTGGCACATGAGAACGAGAGCTCTCTCGACTGGCAGGAGCTTATGCGATGAATATTTCATTTTTGATCTAATTTAATAACTTGGCTCCAACTTCAGCTGCACTTCCGATTCGACTACGACTGCGACTGCGATTTCGACAGACTTTGAAGTGCAATCGAAATTGCACATTTTCAATATGCATTTGGCATGCGAGCATGTAATCAGGGGGCGTGCCGGGGGGTGCTGTATTTCGAATGAGTGGCACAGGCTGAGGCGGAGGCTGAGTCTACAAAAGCGGAAGGAAAAAGTCATGGCAACATTTTCCAGCATTCGGAACTTTGTAATCGCCAACGGCGGAGACTTAAACTTGCCTTTGCTCTCCCCCATTCATCTCTTATTTCGTAATTTATCTTCAATTTAACAGAAAGTGGGTCAAAAGCAGTAACACAGCAAAGAAAATGCATTGCAACATTCGCACTCTCATCGTAATTGATGCAATTCAATTGCCAATTAGCAGCTAATGCAAATGCAGATGCAGATGCAAATGGAACTGCCAGAAGATACCAAAGGCGAATGACCAGCGGAAAATAGAAAATGTTACATAGTTGATTAGAAACCTAATCGATAAGGGGTTCCCACAGACAGAATCCATGGCGATAACATAAACCTAAATTTTAAAGACTCTGGTGACCCCTTTAATATTCGATAAGATATCACTGAATGCTCCTTAAGAATGATCGAACGGGAGAGTGCTCGTGTACTGCCACACGTAGTAGCTGCAATTATTTCCGGTTTTCCATATACTAAGTATCTGCTGGGTAGTAGATCTCTATTATATTTTCACATTCGTTGGGCTCACTCGTCTAGATGAGCGTGCTATCGTGTACATGATGTACGTTCTACGAGTATATGTACACATTGTACATACACGAGAACTCACTACAATCTAATCAGTTTAATATATATATAATATATGTTTTGTTGTTATTAATGTGTTTTATGCAGCCGGAGGCATTCTGTCTCAGTTTCGTTCGAGAAGCTCGCGAGCGCAGTTGCGGAACAATGATTGTCGTCTTATGGCTGACGGTGGCCCTGTGTGTGATCGTGCACTGGCTCTATCGGGTCAACAAGGACTACTATATTATGGCCTTTTTCTCCCGACGAGTCCGCACCAAGGATGGCAGGCCCGTGGAAAGCATTGTGCCCGTGCCCAAAGGTCGAACGATCTTTGCCAACTGCTTAGACCTGTACGGCAAAGACCACGGTGAGATATGGGAGGGTCTTGACCCGCCTCCGCCTATCTGATCGTTCTCTTCTCACTTCAATATCTCTTGAACAGCTGGCGTTTTCAGCTACTCTCGAGAGCTGTCCCAGAGATTGGGAGAAAGCTATTTGCAATATGGCATGGGCCTGCCCATATTCAACATTATCGATGCGGAAAACGCAGAGAATATACTCAATCATCCGAAACTGATAACCAAGGGTCTGGTTTACGACTTCCTGCAGCCGGCCCTGAGAACCGGGCTTCTGACATCCACAGGTTAGTTGATCGAGAGTCCCAAACCCTAACCTAATACCCACTCCTTTCAGAAAAGAAATGGCACGCTCGTCGCAAGATGCTCACTCCCACATTCCATTTCAATATACTGGGACAGTTCCAGGAGATCTTCCAGTGAGTTTTTTCACCAAACAGTCTATTCGACGAGCTAACATCTCTGTAATCCACTTTAATAGAGCCGAAAGTCTGAAGTTTGTGCAGCAGTTTCAAAGTCAAGACGAGAGCATCGTTTCCCTGAGCGATCTTATACCCAGATTCACTCTGAACAGCATTTGTGGTACGTATAATAAATATATGTGAAATATTGGTTAGTCATCCATCAATTTCCCTTTTTGCAGAGACTGCCATGGGCGTAAAGCTGGATGAAATGGCCGAGAAAGGTGATCGTTACCGCGAGGGCATCCACATGATCGAAATGAGCTTCATCAGGCGCCTAAGCAATCCTCTCCTGTGGAACAAAACTATCTATAATTGGTTTGCGGCCAAGACGTATGATGCGTTCTTAAAAACGGTCCACGAATTTTCCAGCGAGATCATTGCCAAGCGGAGGATACTGCTCGAGGAGGAGCTGGAACACAGAAGATCGACTCAGACAGCCGATGATGACATGTGAATAGATCAGAAAGCATGGGGAATCTCTGATAAACTTTGTCTGTTTCTGCCGTAGTTTCGTGAGCAGGAAGAAACGTTTTGCCATGCTGGACACCCTGATTTGTGCAGAGAAAGATGGCCTTATTGATCATGCCGGGATATGCGAGGAGGTGGATACTCTAATGTTTGAAGGATTCGACACTACCTCCATCGGCCTTATCTTCAGCCTGATGAACATGTCCCTGTATCCCGAAAAGCAAGAGCTTTGCTACAAGGAGCTTGAAGAGCACATAGACGGTAGGCCGAGCAAATTCTAAAGTTAACTCAATTCTCTACACGTTCTATCCCTCTTGCAGATAACTTTGACAATCTGGACCACAATCAGTTGAGTAAACTGAAGTACCTGGAATACTTTATAAAGGAAACTATGCGCCTGTTCCCCTCCGTTCCGATCATGGCTCGTCAGACCATCCAAGAGACGGAGTTGGCCAATGGCCTCATTCTTCCCGAACGCTCTCAGATCACTATTCACGTTTTTGATGTTCATCGCAATCCCAAGTACTGGGACTCTCCAAATGAATTCCGTCCGGAGCGCTTCCTTCCCGAGAATTGCCAGAACCGGCATACCTATGCCTACATTCCGTTCAGTGCGGGGCAACGGAACTGCATTGGTAAGGGACATAATGATGACTCGCCTTTTATTTGGGTCTCTAATGACTATATTTCGTTCCGTTTAGGTCAAAAATTTGCCATGCAGGAGATGAAGACACTGATTGTTGTCCTTCTCAAGAAATTCCGGATTCTACCCCTGATCGACCCCAAGACGATCGTCTTTAACGTGGGCATTACACTGCGGACACAGAACAACATTCAAGTAAAGCTTGTGAGACGAAAGTGATTCGCCCTGATTAGAACTTTTAAGTGTTGGTTTGGTTTCTAGAACTTATACTGTAACTAGTTGTCATTAACCGGACTAGAAATATATGTACGTAAGATATTTTAACAACTGCAGTGCAACCGATGGGGTGGTTCAAGCGTTGAATGAGGCCTAGCCGAGCTTATTAATCGCGCTACATATATAAAAAAAAGCTCTAAAACAAGTCCAAACCATTATTATCTATCGAGAAACAAGTCTTACTCGTTTTGGCTTGAGTTTCGTGTGTGTTTATAAACACAAAAGTTTTTATATTAGTTATGTGTACGACTCAGAGATATCCGGGTTTATTTTTCATACAATTCAATAGAGCCTCAAGAGACTATCAAAATTGTTGCGAATAGGTACAATAAATAGCCTTTCTTTCAAAGAGAAATACCTATTCGTAATGACTTTTAGTAAAATATTGTTTGATAATTCCAGAAAGATCTTGAAAATTTCGAAGTTTTAACGGCTTTACTAGCAGTTCTGCGGCATTATGTAGTTCATACGGATAGAATAATATCATTGAGCGTATAGTTCTTGATCCTGAGTGTGGTTTATACTCCTTTATATCATAATCACGCAGCAGACTCATTTGAATTATGACGAAAGTGTACAACAAGTTCACCGAACAACGAGATCTAGGCAATTAGATCCAAGTTCATGGGAGAACACGGGATAAACGCCGTATAAACGCTGCGTGCATAGACATGCATATTATGTGTGTACACACCCATTAGGTGGTCCACTCCCGCAATGCTCTCTCTTTTTCGGGGCTTATTTTACTCAGTGCAGGGTGAGTGATGAATTGGATAAGAGTTGGTTATTTAAGAAGAGAAAGAGAGGGAGTGAACCACTTTGTATAGTTTATCATGGGTGTGCATATACTGTGACAACTTGTACGAATAATCTATATACCCATAATAAATGTATTAAATCTTATCAGCTTTAATGTTTGCTTGTAATTATAAACTTAAACAGGCAATAGTCGAAAGACCATTCGGATGAATCGCTCGGGATCGCAGTTTCGTGAGAGCAGTCCATCAGTGCGGTTGTGTAGCGATGATTGCCTTTTTGCTGACTGTGGCACTGTGTGCGCTCGTCCTGTGGCTCTATAGGATCAACAAGGACTACTACATTTTGGCATTTTTCTCCCGACGAGTCCGCACCAAGGATGGCAGGCCCGTGGAAAGTATATTGCCCTCGCCCAAAGGTCGGACGATCTTTGCCAACTGCTTCGATATGTACGGCAAAGACCTCGGTGAGACATATGAGACTCTTGAGCTCTCTTTGCTTATCTCTTCACTCCTTCTCTCTCGTTCTCACTCTCTCTGATTATTATGCCTTTAACAGCTGGCGTTTTTAGCTACTCTCGAGAGCTGTCCCAAAGATTAGGAGAAAGCTATTTGGAATATGGCATGGGCGTGCCCTTACTGAACATTATCGATGCAGAGAACGCCGAGAACATACTGAATCATCCGAAACTGATAACCAAAAGTCTGGTGTACGATTTTCTACAGCCAGCCCTTAGAACTGGTCTTCTGACATCCACAGGTAAAATGATCGAGAGTTCCAACCCCTAAACTAATACCCACTCCTTTCAGAAAAGAAATGGCACGCTCGTCGCAAGATGCTCACTCCCACATTCCATTTCAATATACTGGGACAGTTCCAGGAGATCTTTAGGTGAGTTTTGTTAGCAATCAACGAATGCCGCATTCACTGAAGCCTTTAATCCACCTCGACAGAGCCGAAAGTCTGAAGTTTGTGCAGCAGTTTCAAAGTCAAGACGAGAGCATCGTTTCCCTGAGCGATCTTATACCCAGATTCACTCTGAACAGCATTTGTGGTACGTATAATAAATATATGTGAAATATTGGTTAGTCATCCATCAATTTCCCTTTTTGCAGAGACTGCCATGGGCGTAAAGCTGGATGAAATGGCCGAGAAGGGTGATCGTTACCGCGAGGGCATTCACATGATCGAAATGAGCTTCATCAGGCGCCTAAGCAATCCTCTCCTGTGGAACAAAACTATCTATAATTGGTTTGCGGCCAAGACGTATGATGCGTTCTTAAAAACGGTCCACGAATTTTCCAGCGAGATCATTGCCAAGCGGAGGATACTGCTCGAGGAGGAGCTGGAACACAGAAGATCGACTCAGACGGCCGATGATGATATGTGAGTGGATCAGACGGTAAAGGTTATTTTTGCTTATCTGGATCTTACTCTGCTATAGATTCGGAAGCAGGAAGAAACGTTTTGCCATGCTGGACACCCTGATTTGTGCAGAGAAAGATGGCCTTATTGATCATGCCGGGATATGCGAGGAGGTGGATACTCTAATGTTTGAAGGATTCGACACTACCTCCATCGGCCTTATCTTCAGCCTGATGAACATGTCCCTGTATCCCGAAAAGCAAGAGCTTTGCTACAAGGAGATCGAAGAGCACATAGACGGTAGGCAGATAGAACTCTTAAGTTAACTCCACTACAATTCTCTACTCGTTCTATCCCTCTTGCAGATAACTTTGACAATCTGGACAACAATCAGTTGAGCAAACTGAAGTACCTGGAATACTTTATAAAGGAAACTATGCGCCTGTTCCCCTCCGTTCCGATCATGGCTCGTCAGACCATCCAAGAGACGGAGTTGGCCAATGGCCTCATTCTTCCCGAACGCTCTCAGATCACTATTCACATTTTTGATGTTCATCGCAATCCCAAGTACTGGGACTCTCCAAATGAATTCCGTCCGGAGCGCTTCCTTCCCGAGAATTGCCAGAACCGGCATACCTATGCCTACATTCCGTTCAGTGCGGGGCAACGGAACTGCATTGGTAAGGGACATAATGATGACTCGCATTTTATTTGGGTCTCTAATGACTATATTTCGTTCCATTTAGGTCAAAAATTTGCCATGCAGGAGATGAAGACTCTGATTGTTGTCCTTCTCAAGAAATTCCGGATTCTACCCCTGATCGACCCCAAGACGATTGTCTTTAACGTGGGCATTACACTGCGGACACAGAACAACATTCAAGTAAAGCTTGTGAGACGAAAGTGATTCTTCGGGCGTCGTTGGTATTGGTTTGTCCTGGACGGCTGTATAGCAGATGTCGTTAAACGTTTAGAAATATACATAGGATGTCTTTATAGCTGCCATGTAATCGATTGAGTTAATAAATCCTCGTAATATTAAACGAACAAGTTCAACTTGATTTTTGTTTGCTTGATTTGGATTTTCTATAGACAAATAAGTCGGCTCTTAAAATCTCTTTGAGGGCAATTCAATAAATACACTGAATTCGTGGAAAAAGAAAGCCTTTCTTTATAATCATAATCAACCTTGCATCGTAATCTATAATCCAACTATAGACCCCTTTGCACTGCGACTAAAGGGTACTACCCACTTGAGAACTTGGGTTCTCTTCTTACAACGAGTTCACAGTTCACAGAAAATCGTGTTCTAGACAGTTGAGAACGCATAAAAAACGAAGGCATAATTTCGTGCTACTAGATATATGTACCTACTCGTATGTTCGCATACGTACATATAGTCGTACCTATCTAATCAGCTTTGTTGTTTCTTTTGCTATAAACGAAAAAACGAATGGCCATTCGGATGAATCGCAGTTTCGTGAGGGGAGCCCACCAGTGCGGTTGCGGAGCGATGATTACCTTGTGGTTGACGGTGGCCCTGTGTGTGGTCATTCACTGGCTCTACCAGGTCAACAAAGACTACTACATTCTGGCCTTCTTCTCAAGGCGTGTCTACACAAGGGATGACCGGCCGGTGGAGAGCCTAGTACCTTCGCCCAAGGGCCGGACGATCTTTGCTCACTGCTTCGATCTGTACGGCAAAGACAACGGTGGGGCATGGGCATGGGTGAACTTTGCTTGTGACCGGTCTAATCTTAAACGGGCCTCTCTTTATCAATCTTTCGTTAATAGCTGGTGTTTTCAAATTCACGCGCGACTTGTCAAAGACTCTTGGTAAGAGTTATGTTCGATATGTCGTAGGCATGCCCATTTACAACGTAATCGATGCCGAAACTGCCGAAATGATACTGACCGATCAGAAATCGCTGATAGGAAAAGGATGTGTCTACAATTTTCTTCATCCAGCCCTGAAGACGGGTCTTCTGACATCACAAGGTAAGGCGAAAGGTCAATAATTTCGAGGTTCCCTAACAAACGGCCCTATTTCAGGAGACAAATGGCATGCGCGTCGCAGGATGCTGACACCCACATTCCATTTCAATATACTGGGACAGTTTCAGGAGATTTTCCAGTGAGTGTTTTCACCAAACAGTCTATGCGGCTAGCTAACATCTCTGCAATCCACTTTGATAGAGCCGAAAGTCTCAAGTTTGTGCAGCAGTTTCAAAGTCAAGACGAGAACATCGTCTCCCTGAGCGAGCTCATACCCAGATTTACGCTTAACACCATTTGTGGTAAGTCGGATCTTTGGAAAATGGGGAATTATCTGTAATCCATCTCTATTCTTTCAGAGACGGCTATGGGAGTGAAACTGGATGAAATGGCCGAGAAAGGTGATCGCTACCGGGAGAGCTTCCATATGATCGAGAAGAGTTTCGTCCGGCGCCTCAGCAATCCTTTCTTAAGAAGCACTACCATCTACAATTTGTTTGTGGCCAAGGAGTACGCTCCGTTCCTGAAAGTGGTCCACGACTTTTCCAGCGAGATCATTGCCAAGCGGAGGATACTGCTCGAGGAGGAGCTGGAACACAGAAGATCTACTCAGACGGCCGATGATGACATGTAAGGGAGTCTCTCATTAAGGGAGTGTCTTCTACCTCATTCTCTTTGGCAGCTTTGTCAGCAGACACAAACGATTTGCAATGCTCGATACCTTGATATGTGCCGAGAAGGATGGGATGATCGATCACGCTGGTATCTGCGAGGAGGTAGACACCCTGATGTTCGAGGGCTATGATGTGAGCTCCATCACTCTCATCTTCACCCTGATGAACATGTCGCTGTATCCGGATAAGCAGGAGCTCTGCTTCAAGGAAATTCAAGAGCACATTGAGGGCAAGCAGAGATATCTTTAAGCAAACTCCACTCTTACACTGGACTCATTCTCCCTCCTGCAGATGACTTCAGCAATCTGGACATCAATCAGATGAGCAAGCTAAAGTACCTGGAATACTTTATAAAGGAGACGATGCGCCTGTTCCCGCCCATTCCACTTATGGGCCGTCAAGCAGTGCAGGAAACAGAGCTGGCCAACGGGCTCATCCTTCCCAGCGGCACCCAGATCCACATACACACCTTCGACATCCATCGCAATCCCAAGCACTGGGACTCCCCAAACGAGTTTCAGCCGGAACGTTTTCTGCCGGAGAACAGCCAGAACCGTCCTGTCTACGCCTACATTCCGTTCAGTGCGGGGCAAAGGAATTGCATTGGCAAGTGGAAAACTTCAACCCGAAGGCGCGATTCGGATAGACAGTAATTGGTTTCCTTTATCTTTAGCTCAAAAATTCGCCATGCAAGAGATGAAAACCCTGATGACTGTTATTCTCAAGAAGTTCGAGATCCAACCGCTGGTCGATCCCAAGTCGATTGTCTTCCATGTGGGAATTACACTGCGCATCAAGAACCATATTCGCGTTAAGCTAGTGAGACGAAAGTGATTTTGTCGCTAATAAAACTCCAGTTAGTCCAGTGAATGTTCACATTTAGTTCGGGTTGTGGCTCTGATATCAGGAAATGTCCTCCTTCCGACCCGACCTCTGGAAACTTGCTTCTGCCCGATTATCGTTGGCATCTCGACAGCCGCCGCTTTATATATCATTCATGCATGCACAGTCGAGCTGAAGGAGCTTCCACTCTATTTTCTATTTTCTATTTCCATTTCAACTCCTGTGCCCCATAAAATCTCTGTGGGAGCTCCCCCTCCGGCCGAAGCTATCCTTTTCCTGCAGTTATGCACAAAAGAAGATAGAAGATGAAAGAGAGAGAGAGAGAGAGAGAGAGAGTGGTAGTGGGAGTGGGAGGTAGCGAAGTGGAGTAGTCTTTATCTTTTAGCACTCATATAAGGATTGCATAATGTCCTGGCGACTTTTTGTCATCCTGCCTTTTCCTTTTTTGGTGTTTTACGGCTTCAACTGCTGCTGCTGCTGCTGCTGGTTTCTTGGTTTTTTTTGCTGTCTTTGCGATTTTGACAGTTCGTTACTTGGTTATACTCGTACACCCCTTCGGTCCGCCCATTTGCATGCATAATGCAAAGTCAGCTTTGTCCTAAGCGGGAAAGGCAGCGACACGCATAGACATGTGACCATGATGCCACTGGCTGCTGCACGGCCAACATCATCATCATTCTTCGTGCTCTGGGATTTATGGGACATGCAATGGCATGGCCGGGAATGGGGCAGCAGGCTGCGGGCTGCACGCTGCAGGCTGCAGCTTCTGGTCTGTCAGTTTTAGTCGCTATTTCGGTTATTGCATATTTCATCCATTTCTCTTCCTCTCACCCGCTCTCTTTGTCTGTCTCTCTCACTGGTTTTCCCTGTGTCAAAATTATGTCTCCACTCTGGATTCCATTGGAAAGTCATGTAAACGAAATTCCATTCGTCGTTTCATTTGGGTTTTGGCTGAGCAAATATTTGCCACACTGAAAATTGAAAGTGCAATGAAACACCCTGCCACCTGCCCCCAGCCACCAGCAACCAGCCACCGAAATGTGACGCGCAAAAAGCCAACAGCCAACAAATGCGCCACAGCCAAAAAGAAAGTCGCAATATTCCCAACCATTTGCGTCGCAGCTAAAGTCCTCGAGACGCCACCGACTGTCGATGTGAGGCAGAGGTAGGGAGACGGAAGACGGGAGACAAGGGTAGTCGAAATGAATTAATTACTTGATGCGCATAGCATTCTTGGTACTTGGTCCTTGGCAGGAAATTGCGTGTGAGGCTGTCTTGTCGGTCGATTTACATTCGCGTGTTAACCCGAACTCAACCACAACCACTCCCCAGCCCCCCGCCCCCCCAATCCCTCTGTGTAGCCACTTCCCTTCTTGCACGACTCACATGACGCTATTAATTTCTATTATCCAGCCTCCCAAGGCCTTCCCCGTCCCCTCCATGCCATGCTTCGCTACGAGCTTTCGTGCAATTGCTTTTTTCTTCGCCCACCTTTCTCGCTCCCTGCCCCACCCCCACTCTCCGCTTGTTGATTCTGATTGGGATTAAGGCTGCCCATGGCCATGGCCTGGTCCTGAGCCTGGGCCCTGCGCCGAACGAGCGCTGGGCCATCGTTTTGATTGCCTTTGTGCCGCAGATGCCGTGAAATATTTCATTTGCTGCCAGTTATTTGCTTTTGCGCTTTGGCCTTTCCTCTCTGTGTTTCTGTTTCTGTTGCTGCTTCTGTTGCTGATTCCTGGTCGTGTCTGTTTGTGGCTTTTCCTTACGGCTTCGGCTGTTGGTGCGTGTGTGAATATCGCATGGAAATCCCATTTAATAAAGTGCCTGTGCATCGATAGAGCCCTGTTGAGGCCTGTCATAATCCATTTTCGAGTTTCTTTCTTTCTATGCTAACTGAAGGTCAAACTGCACGCACACCTGCACACATGTACACCTGTACCCCCATGTACCACACATATATCCAATTAAAGCTCACCTGGCTCCGACGTGCTGGTGGTCTCATCGGTCTCCGTGTTGGCATTGCTTTTATCGAAGACCAGCAGCAAAACGGTCAAGGATATTAGGGCCCAAAGCGGCTTATGCCGCATACGCTGCCTGCTCCACATGGCTGTAACTTCCGGATCCAGCTGCCTGCCTGCTTCCTTCTGCCCGCACACAAGCCAAATATCAGAGTGCACTTGCCAAGAGTCTCTCTTTCTTCCTGTCTTTGGTTTGTCAATCACTCAATGCACTAGTCTGCGATGGCGAGGAGGCAGAGCAGAACCTTTAAGCACTTTACCAAAATGTCTCAATGTTCCGTGCCGCCTTTTAAAGCGTGCCCAAGTTGCACTCCCTAAACGCCAGTAGCATGCAACGCCTGCAGCAGAACTTAATGCCACAGCACAGAGGCGACGGCGACAGCGACGGCGACAGCCCTTCACACGCTGCCCTTCAATGGCGCTAAAATAGAAATCCACTTGGCCAACTCAACGTCAAACACTTGAATAAACACACTCCTCAAACACATGCATCCACCATCTACATATATGTATGTATGTACTGTGGGCCTTAAAGTCTCACTTTTGCTTTCACTGGTATCAGCTCCACTGTGCACTGGAGGACCAAAACTTGAACACTTCCTTGCAACAGTCGACAGCGAAATGCGAATTTTGGATGATTTGGGCGGCAAGGACGTTTTTTCGAGTCCGCCCGCCTTTAAATGTTGCTGGTGGTTAAGAATTTTGCTCGACAACAGTTTACAGCCCAGTTCGGCTCGGAGAGAGAGCTTTACGCTCTGAAGAATCATATTTGCGTTCAAAAATGAGCTTCGGGTCTCGAAGCAACGAAGCGACGAAGGAGAACCGATGTCACGTGCATTTTGCCGGTAAATCGTGTGTTTTTGTTTTGATTTGATATTTTTGCTTATCCTCCCTTCCTCGCTATCTTCTCTGCTGTTGCTCCTTTCGCTTTTCCGTGTGTTCCAGCGGGTGCCAGTGTGTGCGTGCCCTTGTAATTTAACACGTAGCCTAGGGGATGCCATGCCCGAACCTCCTTCTCCTTCTCTACGGCACGTGGTCGGCTACAAGTGAAGTTTTCCACTTGCCTTCCCCTCTGATTAAGTTATCTACAAGTTTAAACGTAATTTAATTACACTCTTTTAATCCTTTGGTGCGTTTTGTGGAGGGACAGTGCGGTGGATTCAATCAAAGCAATCAATTACAACTTCGAAGGACAGTAAGGACACCGTAGCCCGTAACGCGGACATAAAAAGTCATTTGGCTGCTGATTGAAAAATCCGGAATAATAAAATCAAGCCTAAATGAATCTGATTTTCAATTAACTTTTATGTTCATTGAAAATCTCTTAGGCTCCTTGGCTAAATGATGTCATAAACTGTGAATCTCAAGTAATAATTTTTCTTAATTTTGTTTAAACATAGCGAGTGTTTGCTTAAACACCGACACACTGAACGCGAAAACGCTTCTGTCTACAGTAACGTCTGCAATAATATATTTACGAGTAGGTACGAGTATGTAAAGAGGATTACCCTTTAGATGCCATTGAAATGGATGCCATACAATCCCATGGCAGTCAGTCGAGCGAAGCTGTGATGCCACTGCAGCACTCTTACCTGAATGGGCGTCCTATCCATCCTTGCTGCTCGTTCAACTCCTTTCCAGTTGCCGCAGAGAAGTATGCCATGAGTTCTGCTGACCTCAGCTGTCTGCAGCTCGATGCCAATAATCAAGAGACGTTGCGGTGATTTCGAAGCACTTACCTTGTGGTATGGCATGCGGTTGGCTCTGCTACATTGTGGATGCCACTTGGCCACTAATTACGCAAATGAATGCTCCCTGCAACAGCAGCAGCAACAACGGCAAAACTAACAAATGCTGTAAAGTTTTCCGGTTGGGACCCACTGTGGTAAATGTCACTCAATGGGGATGTTTATGGTCCTGCCAAAGTGGACAGCAGCAACGGTGACAATGCTGTCTGGCCCGGACCATTGTACTGAGAACGTTCCGTCCCCGCCCGTCTGCTGCTTAGTCCTTGTTGTCTGTCGCATTGAAATTGTGCTGAAACGCGAAACGCGCTCAACTCCAGTGGAGTGGAAAATGAATCCTGGTGTGCACTGGCGAGCAGCATTTGCTGTATGCTCAACGGCAAATTCAATTGTGCATCAGCATTATCTTTTGTATAATTCTCGACATAGTTGTTGCTTCTGCCTCTGCCCTTTTCACCGCATCTCATCCTCCATCAAATGCTATAAAGGCTGAAAATGCAAGAAAGCAAGACCACTGCAGCCTCAAATTACAACATGGCCACATTCTCTGTGATTTGTATCTCAGGACCAGAGGGTAATAATACTCGAAAGTGTAGTGCAAGGGCTCCCAGTAAATCACATTTACTTATCCCCATCTGTATCTGTGTCTCTGTCATTGATTTTTGCATTACACATGTTAGATTTTCTGATGCACTCGTGTGCATAAATAACTTATGTTTGTATCAATGCAATTAATTGCATGTCTTGGTCATTTGTTTGATTGCTGGACCTGAAACTGCATCTGCGTCTCAATCGTTGGCCCTGAGGGAATATCAAAAATTAATTGCTACAAAAAGGGCAATTATTTGCTGTCTTTGAATGGAAATCATGATTCCAAGTAGAGAATCGAGATGACATAAGCAGGACAAGGATAAGTTAGTACATAGTTATGATATTTATTACCGATGTCTGTCGATCCAACTAATGGGCGCCTGAAGCTGCCTCGCTTTCCTGGTATTCACAAGAAGGCTAAGGCCATCCTGGAATCACCGAAGGAAAACCATTTGCCACTATTCCATTATATCTTTGGGGCAAAGCTTTCAATTATCAGTTGAATGGAAATCAATTGCATTCCACGCCATTTGCCAGAACTTGCGGCGTGAACACGAAAGGGATAAGCAAAAGGGATTGCACCAAACACCACCCACCACCCTCCGCCACCTTTTGCCACGATGAGTGCGAAAATCTTGTCTTGTCATGCAATTATAGAGTTTTAATGAAATTTCGTGCACAGTCAGCGAAGGGCGATTAAAAGACACAAACAGACAGGCGGAAAAACTAGCACGAAAGTCGCCACCTAATTACCCGGGGACACCGCCACCGCCTCCGCCACCCCCAACCCCACAAAAAACTGGAAAAGTGGAAAAATAAACCCAAATGGTTGAGTTAATTGCATTGCCAATGATGCGGCAAAATCATTTTGACTCGATGCCGCAATGATGGCCAAAGCCCATTAAGCCATTAGGGGCTCTTAAATTGTCATTAACGGAGGCACATACAAATCCAATAAGCGGTATTAATGCATGCAGACCAATGCTGTTTGCCACGTTTCGACTGCCACTGCCAAAGTTGTAAGCCATAATTGGTACATAATTCGCATTGAATTGCCAAGGACATTCCCCCCATTTGTTGGTGGCTGAGGTCTCATGAAATGTTTAATGCTAAGAAAACTCTTCTGCCATTGCGAGTCCGCTCTAAAGTGTAAGAAGAGTATAAAAGAAATTTGAATGGGCACTCCAACTCTGGCCCAAAGTCCAAGGGAGCTCCTAACCTGGCAAAAATACGCAATAAGTACTCCAAAACTTGTAAAAAACGAAGAATAAGTGCAGAAAGAAGCAGGTCTGACCCGAATGAAAGGATGCAGAAGCAATCCAAATACCAAATAAAACTTTAATTTCCTGCTTGCACAATATAATGCAATCCACGGAGAGTGTTAGAGGAGGGGCTGGAACACAGACAGAGGGAGTCAGTGCTGGGGGACAAATTTAAAAGCCAAGGCACAGCTGACACGTCGATCCAGTATTGTAAATCTCCATTGATCCCCGTGGAGCTGTTGCCGGTTGTTCAATTAAAACGCTCCCGGCGGCTGCCCTCAAAGCGGTCAGAGAGCGGTCCCGGAGTCCATGTCAAGCTCTGCCACCTCCGGTTCCACCAGTGCGCACTGCTGTGGCATGTGGCCGTGGCATGCAAATGACCAGCAGAAAGGTGCAAGGCAAATACCAGTATGTGGCAAATATGTTAAGTGGCACCAGGAGAGGGAGAGACAGAGAGAGAGAGAGAGAGAGAGAGTACTACAATTTGCATGCGCTGTGAAGCACACAGCTGCTCCCACAGCTTCGTGTGGGAATTCCTTCTGAAAAGAAAGGAAAACAATTTATATCATACATATATGAGCTCACCTTTGAACTTTACGAGGCGAAAGTATTTTTAATTAAAGCCAACAAGCAGCCAGCCAAGCCAAGCAGATGAAGCAATTGAACGAATGCATGTGTATGTACGCACACACACACACACACACACTACCACAAGGAACGACTACTAGTTGTGGACCATAAATGCTTCAACTGGCCATTTAGCCCTGGCAATGGCTACGCCATGCCGTGCCGTGCCGTGAGCTCGGACCCGGGGATAAGCGCAGAGGGCAGCCGGGCAGCAGGAGAGCAGTAGAGCAAGTGCAAATAATATTATGGCCAACTGCACGACACACCGCATCGCACCCATTCCAGGCACAAATAAGTTCCGGCCACTGGCAGGACAAACTCTGGACAGGACCGTAAACAGCATTAAGTAACCGCAAGCAAGCAGCATCCAACAATCCTCCACCCTCCGCACGCAAGCACATACATGGCTCTAAGCGTTAAGGGTACGTGCGCGTATGTGTGTGTGTGTGTGTGTGTGTGTGTGAGACTGTATCAATTGCTGTCGTTGCCGTTGTAGCCACTGTAATTGCCCTGGCTGGGAAGGCAGCTGAGGCTGGGCGGCCTCCCTCTGAGCGCCTCTGTACTCCGTCATATGGCCCTGTCATTGACAAGCTCAATAATAGCCATCGACCGCAGCATCTGGTCTACGCCGCCCGGTCGGAGGTCCATTGTGGTCGGAAGAATTTTCCGCATTGACTTTTCATCTTTGCATTGATTTTCTGGCACATCCTAATCGAATACCTTGAGCCTGCGCTTCCTTAGCTCCATGTTCAGCCCCGTCCACAGTAACGACTTCAACTGCAAACAAATCTGCATAGGACTGCGGGGAGTGTTGTAGGAGTGTTGCGAGAAGCAGAAAGTTGCTTAACGCAGACATTCATCCATTGATATGCATGCACATACCCTTTCAAGTTTGGGCGAGGAAATCCTTTGGCTGGGGCTGCTGCCAAACCCTTATCACTTGGCCAGGCACTCGGGGAAAACGCCAGCCACAAGGCGAAGGTCCTGGCAGATGCCTTAGGAACTGCTTGCCATGCATATCCTCGAACCCGTTCCTCAGTCTTTGGCCAACTGCATCTACTTAGCATAATTTGTTGCCTTGTTCCTGTCTACATTGTCTACTCATGGAGTTGGGGCGGTCTGTACTGTCAAGGGCCCGAGAAGCAGTACTGTCTGTTGGTCTAGACAAGACAATGTCTGCATACAAAGATTCTATTTTGAGGAGGCGCGTAACAGACAATCAACGCTTCAAGTTTCGCCCCTTTCCCATAAACATGTTCATCAAAGAGCGGAGGTAATGAACTCTCTATGCCATCATTAAATGTTTTCATTAAATTCCTATTTTAATCAGTTCCGTTTTACCCAAGGAAACGTCTTAGCCCATTCAAATTCAAAAGTAGCGCCAACCCTTAAACGACTTGGAACTTAACAGCACTTTTGGTTTTCCAACACAGGTCAAGCTTAACAGCAGTGCTATCGGAATTCCTTTAACAGAAGCTTTCGGCTATCGATTCTGTTGTCTTCCTGTTAAAACTCATGAAAATAAAGCAAAATAATTGTTTAATTAAAGTGCGCAACAAATGCAGCAGTTTTAAAGTGGCAGCCGTTTTGCTTGGAGTATTGTTCTTCAGCAATCCTACTAACGTCAATTTGTTTTTTTGGTCGTGTTATTGTTAAACACAGGCAAGGTATTTCATTTGTTGGTACTTCAGCTGTTTCCGAAAAGTATTGCTTTAAACGACGCTGCGGCATTTTATTATATTCCATTTCAAACGCTTTCTCAAAGCATAGTGGGCGTAGAAGAACCTGGAAAAGCATTTGCAGCCATGGTGAGCGGCTCTCAGGTCGTTGCATTAGCCTCCCTCCTGTACTCTCAATTTTTCATTGCAGCTTCAGCTGAGAGATTTTCAGAATGTATGTCCCGATGATTTGACAGCGGCCCTGGCTCTTCAGGTTTACAACGACTTAAAAAGGGGTAAATCAATCAATCAAATATACTATTTAGGATCATTATAAAGCCTTTTTTCTTAGATGAGCGCTGCGGCCACCTGCAGCCGCACTACGATGATGATTTGAAGGTGTTCTACTTGCGGAAAGAGGACACACAGGCTGCTTACATACCCTTGCTCCATACGAAGGGCATTCATTTCAGCCTGGTTGAGGCAATGCAAGACAAATTTGGAAAAAAGTGAGCATTGGTTTAAATTATTGTTTTGTTTTGTTTATTTTCCTTGTTCTTTTTCAGCAACATATTTTTGGCCATCGTGGATAATACAGGCAACATTTTGTATTACCAGGTGACCGAAGGATTCAGTGAAAAGAAGTTCTAAAGGTGCTTGATGTTTAATTTATAGAAAACGCTGTCCCTAATATTTTAAGATTATGTGTATTTATTTAGTCAATTGTTTACAGACTGTCAAATCCTTGTGAAGCATTAAAAACCCAATTTCAAACTTGTTTGATGACTCAAAACTGCATTTATTCAATAGCGATAGATACATTTATTCAAAAATCATATCATAGTTGCATAAATAAGAGGATACACGCACAACTTGGCAGCTAAAGGGAATGGGGGGACATTTTTGTTGGTGATGAATCGATATTCCAGGCCGCAAGTTGCCGTTGTAATTATAATCATAATCATAATCGTAATGACAATAGATCTGCTTGGTTGTATATTGTTCTGCATGAGGGGTGCAGTGCACGATCGTTATCATAATCGTATTTATCAATAATTATCTTCACATAATGATAGCTTAGCCTACGCTTCCATAATTGATTATTACAAACTTAAATACAATTTAAAAATTAAATTACAAATAGCATAGATCTTAAGTGAAACAACAATCCGATCGCATGCCACATGTCTCTGGCAACGAGGGGTCAGACTCTCTCCGAACGGCATTATGTTTTTTCCTGTTAAAGCGTACCGTTCCGTTCCATTCTCTCTTTCTCTCGTGGACATACAAGCGAATCGTTTGAAATCCATATATCATTGAATTAAAATGCTCAAAGCAATACAGTTTTTTGTATAATAATAATAAATAACAAATGTAGGCGTTGTGTGTGAATTAAAAAATAATAAAATGTAGCTTTAAAATATAACACAACTCGGGCACACAATTGGCTGACATGAGTTGATTTGAAAACGCAAAGAAATTTACAGGGGTTACACTTTAAAACTGTAAGTATTATCTCCCAATTTCTAACTTTCTCTCCTTCGTTCTTTATCTAAAAATATGTTTAGAGGATGAGCTCTTTTATCAAGACATTTTCCTGGGATGTGTGCATGCAATATATGTATAAAATATATGTATCCGTGAATTTGTTCTTGTATGTGGTTTATGAAAATATGTTGCTCCGCTCCGTTCCGCTTTGATCCGATCCGATACGATCTGATCCGATCTCCTACTGGTGGCGCTTGTAAAATAGCTGTGTGTATACATAATTTTCATCTCTAAAATCTATTTGGAACCTGGCTCACAATAAATCTGTCCAAAATCTACAACGTTGCGTATAAGGCCTTCCTAGGGTTCGTCAGACTATTCAATATATTCTCGTTCTCGCGTTAGGAAATTAAAAGATGCATGCTATGCAATATGGTTCATGCTGATGGAGGGGAAGGGTATTGTATTGTTTTGGATTGGATTGGAAGGGATCCGGCTCTGCTCCTGATTGATGATCGAAAAATGCGCTTATTGTGCCCTCAAAAAGGACGTCTTCTAGTGGATTTTGTTAATGCTTGTTTCGGTGAGCAAGTGAGCAACACTCCAGTGATTAGATATAATGTATGTCCTGTATGGGTATTATCTGGAGGCGTTCCTGTTTAAATATTTAACTCACATTCACTTAAGCTAACAATAATTCGTACACATTTAAAAGCAGAGGGCGAGGGTTAGAACGATCGGGCTAGGCCCTTGGTGAGCCCATAAGACTAACTGGACACGGGAGGGGTGTTGCGGGACACTAACACCATTCGGCCGTGTATGAAAAGTCCTGGAAGAGCACCTGCTCATCCTCGGACAGGTGGCGCGGCTCCTTTGGTGGCGTCAATTGCGCCTTCTCCGACGTGAATTCCTCATCAAAGTTCGAGACATCTTCCAGATGGTTCTACGGAAACGAATTACACACAAATATATTTATCGAAATTCTCTTTGTCTGGGACGCTATTCGACTTACAATCGTTGGTACAAACGGTGGCTTGACCTTACGAAGCAGCAGATCATCCCAGACAATGGACCGGAAGAATGCCTGCTTCTTGACATCCTCCGCATCGCGCTCCGACGATCCTAGACGTCGCTCTGGATTCTTGCGCAGTAGCTGAAAAGTTATACGTACATTGATTAGTCAGAAAAGATCATTGAATGCGAATGACTTACCCTACGCATCACGGCTATGGCCTCGAGTGAGAGGAAGCGCGGATAGCGGACCTCATCATTCACAATTGAATCGAACACCTCCTCCTCATCATCGCCAGGGAAAGGTGACTGTCAAAATAGGATTGGAAGTCAGTTAACAAACGAAATACCCACAAGAAATCTTCCCGTTCGACTTACCTCACCAACCAACATCTCAAAGATGAGCACCCCCAGACCCCACCAGTCCACGGCCCTCGTGTACGAGGTCTCGGTGAGGACTTCGGGTGCCAGAAACTCGGGCGTGCCGCAGAAAGTACCCGTGCGATCACCGAAGCCCATGCCCTCCTTGCACAGGCCAAAGTCGGCGATCTTCACATACCCATCCGTGTCCAGCAGCAGGTTGTCCAGCTTCAGGTCGCGGTAGATGATCTTATTTTCGTGCAGATACTGGAGCCCCAGCACAACGCAGGCTGCATAGAAAACGGCACGCGGCTCCAGAAACACGTCCGTATGGATGTGCATCATCAGATCTCCTCCGGCGGCGTACTCCATCACAAAGCAAACGTGTTGCTGTCGAGGAAGCAAGGAGGTATCAAAGGTTAAAACTAGAAATCTCTCTCAGCTGACTTTGGGCTGACTCACATCGGTCTGGAAGCACGAATACAAATTGACTAAAAACGGGTGGCGCATGGCATTGGCCACTTCGAAGATGCGCTTTTCGCTCAGCAGCGACTCCACCTCATCGCGGGCGATAATGTCGCCCTTTTTCAGCGCCTTGATGGCATAGTACTGGTTGTTGCTGCGCAGCTGCGACAGGATCACCTTGCCAAAGTGTCCTCGTCCCAGCACACTCAGCAGCCGGAAGTTGTCCATCGACAGCATGCCAGCATTCGGAGGCGGTCCAGGCATGACCAGACGCCCCCCGTCGTGGCCCCCAGTCTCGCGGAACTGCAGTCCCCGAGCCACATTCTTGCGCTGCCCCTGCTGGCTGGTGTTGCTCGTCGATGAGGAGCTGGGCGTGGGCGTAGGCGTGTACACTGAGGCGGCAGCCGCTGCCTTGGCCACGTTCAACTCGTACTGATTCGCATAGATGGGCTGCTGCCCAGGCTGTTGCTGCAGCTTGTCCTGACGCTGTGTGGGCTGCGGGAATTGCGGTGCGCCGGCCGACGTACTAACGCTATAGATGGTCGGAGTCGGCGGCTCCTGGATGATAGGCGAGGACTGTCCATACTGCTGTTGACTGCTGCCCACATAGAGTTTTCCCAACTGCGGTATAACCTGTGGCAAAAGAATTAAGAGATGTTAGCCCATTGGTTTGGCATATTCTGTATTCTGTATTCATTTATATCAATATCTGTGGAAACAACTTGAGAGCTCTGCATGTGTGTCTGCCTCTGGGGCCGTTTACCTGCTCCAGCTGCTCCTCTTCACTCGTCGAACTGTCTAACTTTTCAACAACTGTCTCAAGCAATACACTCTCAACGAATGCCTCCGACTGCGACTGCAACAGCGACTGCGACTGGCAGTGGGACTGTGCCTCTGCCACCGCCTTGGTCTCCGGCTGTGGCTCTGGCTCGGCCACCTCCTCTATCAGGCAGCTGGTGGTGCAGCTGGCATCGATGGGTTCGAGGGTGATATGTACAAGACTGATATGCGCCTGCAAGAGGATTGTGGTTCAAAGAGCTGCGCTTCACAACGCCGGGGGGACAAACAAACATACAGCAGGCGGTGCATCGCATATGGCAGGTGCGGATGTGGACAACAGCTGACGGATTGGCCAAGTGGGCGAGAGATCCAGACTATGAAAAAGAGTATGGGAATGCTGCTGTGGCTGTTGATGGAGCTGGACTGCAAACATTTGCCTCAGGACCTGCGCGAGTGCATGGAATGCTGGCACAATCATGACGTCACGACATGGCTACATACTTTAAAACCGATTGATATCGACGGATCAACGGATCGACGGAAGCTACATATACCACAAGGGCAGTGGCAGTAGCAACAGCGGCGGCAACGACGGGCAACTGAAGGCAAACAAGTGCCAAAGTCATGACCAGAGGCCAGGCAAAATGGTCGCTTAGCATTTTAGGCGCTTCTGCGTCGTTCTTTTGGTCTAAAAATGGCCAATGGCTACGTAAGACGCGGGCCAGCGTAACAGCGCATAGCCCCAGTATATGGATGAGTCCGTACATAGATGGGAGGAGATGGGAGGAGACACAGAAAGACACCGATATGTACATACATATAGATAGGTAGGTAAACATCTTAAATGAAATGGAAAATGTGAGGGAACGTTGACGTTCTGCAATGTCGTGGAAAGTGTCGTGTGTGAGAGGTGATGGTGCTGGTGCTTATGGGGACAGAACATACACTCGCTTTTGGCACGTGAAGGGGCGCACTTTCGGGCCTCTCCTCTCCGCTTTCCCTGTGATCTTTTCGGAAACGTGCCTATTTAAAGCGACTCAAATTGTCACTTTTGGATATCTTATCGTTGGTATTATGTACATCAGTTCACTTCATAGATTTTCTATAATATTCAGAGCTCTCAAGTCGTTTGTGGTTATAAATAATTAGCAATGTAATTTATAAAGCATTTGTTTTATTTACAAACATCTTCAAGTTAGGATCAAGTGGGAGTTCTAACGGGAATTACGTTTCTAGGGTTGGATTAGACCGTTAGTTCGAAATTTATTTGTGCTTTCAATACTATGTTCTACTGTTAACACTACAAGGCAGTGCTGGTAAACGCGATGTTAGATACAAGCCAAAAAACAAATGTGAGTGTTTTGTTGTCGTGTGCATGAGTATGTTTTATGAATAATATGTTTTAGGCTTTATGGACACTTTTTTGCACTCATCGCGATATTATTCGTCGAAAAGTGATAACGCACGAACACCAACAGCAATCGAAAAACGATAACAAAACGATAACATTAACAATAACACCCAAAAATCGTGTCAGCCACAGACGAATAAATGTAAGAAACGAAAAAGCTTTTTGCGGATTAGTGAATAATATTAAATAAATTCGATTGCACGGATTGCAGGGCGAGGGTGTTCCCTAGCATACTTTCCGGGGTGACCCCGTCCTGCAAGCCAACAAAAAAAGCAAATTCCAAACCAAAAGCAAAAAAAGAAATCAAATGAAAAACCTCCTAACCTCCACACAGAAACGATCGCCCGCACTGGAACTGTGGCTGGACTGCACCAGATCCCGTCTGCCCCCGCCGCCATCGGCCCTGTACAGATACTCGTCATCGTCCTCGGGATACTCGACCAGGGGCGAGGGCGGTACCGATCTGTCCTCCTCCCGGCAGCCCAGCAGCACAACCGGCGGCATGGTCAGCACCGGACGGTGCAGCTGCTGTTCCACAGCCGATGGCCGCGACAGATCCTCGACGGCGGCAAAGCGACTGCTGGTCTGGGCAGGATCGGGCTGCAACTGAAATTGGTTGGTTGGTGGCAAGACGAGTGGACTTTGGCTGGGGCAGGGGTAGGTGACTGGGCGGCTGGCTGGCGAGATCGAGAGCGGTAGCGGTAGCGGGCTCAGGAGCGGTGTCTGGTCTGTGGTTAGTGTTGACTGGGTGGGTGACAGCGGAGGAGGAGGTGGCGGTGGCGGCGGCGGCGGTGGCTGGCTCTGGCGCTGCTTGGCCCACTCGGAGGACTCGGCAATGCACTGCTCGATCATGCGTTGCTTCTGCTGATGCTGGAGCTGCTTCTCCTTCTCCTTATGTCTCGCCTGATCTTTTTGCTGCTGCTGCTGCTTTTCCCTCTCCTGCTGTTCGCACAGCTCGAGGATGGCCTGACGCTGGGCCTCCTGGAACTGTTGCAATCTCTGCTGCTCCTGCAGCTGCCTCTGGTGCAGGGCCTGCTGCTCGGACTGCTGCTGCTGCAGCAGCAGGCTCTCGAGCGCCTCCTGGTCCAGCTGCAGCTGCTCCATGTCCCGCTCTTTCAGCAGGCGCCGCAGCGTGGTCGGACGCGAGTCCATGTCGGAGAGGAAATCAAATTCGTGCAAGGCATCCTGCAGCTGTCGGCGATTAACGGAGATCATGACAGACGGATAACGGAAGACAGGAGACAGGCACACACAGACACACACAGAGGCAGTGAGGCGCGCAGAAAGGGAGAGAGAAAGGAAGGGAAGCACAAAGCACAACGAGAGAGAATGAGAGAAAGATGGCGGCGTATTAAAGAGAATGAGAAAAAGCTTCTCTTTCGCACAGAGAAATGGACAGAGTGAGTGAGAAGTCAGAGAACAGAGAGGGGATAACGATGATGATGATGAATGAAGGAGAAGATTGAGAGGCAGAGGCAAAAAGGGAGAAAACGGCGGGGATCATCGGCGGAGCAAGCAGTGCGAAACTGACGGAACTAGTTCGCAGCCGCAACTCCTATGTCCGTATGACACTAACTCACATTTACTGATTTTCAACAGAATATTGCACTTTACACTTTCGAAGAGCCCTAATAGCTATAAAGCTCAATATGAATATACTGATACTCCTAATACTCTCAATCAGAGATCTAACTTTTAAGATCTAAGACATTCAGTGTAATAATTATATACTGTCGAGGAATTGCTCAAACAGTGTGCGCATGAGACATGCCATCAGTCGAACAGCTAACTACACACAGCTGATTCAGACCAACAAGTTGTACTTTTACAATTACAAATCGATTGCATATATGAACTAAGGCACATACTCGCATTTCTCTCGTTCCCACTGCACCCTTTTCCCCTAAGGTTTTTATATATTGTCTCCCTGAAATTTAGCTTCTACCAAATACTGAATTCTGACGAATTGTTATATACTGCGACTTCTATTATTTTTAGGGGAATGACACTTTCTTTAAGTTTTCAAGCGCTGCTTACAATTCTTCAGTTGGTCTTCAGGTAATGATAAGCTAGTGTCATACGGGTAACAACCGGATGATGGACTGTTTCCGGAGCTCCCTTTGGCAGTGGTTCGCACTGCCAACTAGTTGACACCAGATCATCGCTTCTAGAATTTTCGATTAACTTCCAAACCCACCATCTGCACGGATGCTTCTGCATGGAGTGTGGTGTGGCATCCACTTTAGACACTAGTAAATAATTATAGCTTATGTACATGTACGATCAAATGTGTATGTATAGTATGTATGAACAATCGACAATACAGAAGCCAACACCAAGGGATAATGATGCGATAACTGTACAGATGTTTATGTGTGTTGGTGGGGGTGGGGTTGGTTTTGGGGGTGAATATGTACATGAGATAAGAGTTGAGCAAAAGGAGCTGTGGCAATGGCAATGGCAATGGCAGTGGCATGTGGCAGGCACAACGATCAAACCAGCTACGGGAACACAGCTATATATTTGTATAGTACATGGCGATCTTTACAGAGGGATTGAGAAGGTTGAGCTGCATACGGGCCTGGTCGTACGTAGATAATCTCTGGATAGCACTCACCTCCTGGTCCAACACCGGCGTGGTGGTCGATGACTTGAGCAATGGTGGCGGCGGTGGCGCCGTTGTGGGGGCGGCCGTGCGGCCACCGATGACCGCTGGTGCCTTCGCGCCTCCTGCCGACGGCGGCATCTGTATGATGAGCGAGCTGGGTCTGCCAGCGGCAACTGCCGCTGCGGCGCCGGAAACGGGAGGTGTGTCGGGTGGCAGGACGCTGATCCCCTGCATGTGCATGGAGAGTGGGCGCATGCCACTCAACCCGCTGGCCGCCGGATCCGGGTACTCGCCGGGCGTTTCCACGTGCTCGTGCATGCCCGCATCCGGATTGAACTCCAGATTTTGGGCCTGCTCGCCGGGTGTATACGGCTCCGGCTCCACCAGGGCATCCGACGAGGGAGTCCTCGAAATGGGCGACTCCGAGTCGCGGGCAGGGGCAGCCGCAGCGCCTGTGGCTTCGCCCGATCCCATGTGGACATGGTTGGGGGCATTTCGCTTGAGCAGGCGACCCCAGGTGGCCACATTGATGTTCATCTGCTTGGCACGGGGGATGTTCTTTGCCTGCTGTCTGTTGAAGATCATGCGCTGGCGGCGCAGCTTGGGCTTCTGCGATATCATGGGATTGAGAAACTTGATCTCGGCGAAGAGCAGGCCCTGGGGCTCCAGCTGCAGGGCCATGCCGTGGCGCACATCGTCGATGAACTCCTCCAGTCGCAGGACCTTCACGGCGCACAGGGAACGCCAGTCGCGCCAAAAGACTCCGATCTCGAGCTCTCGGGAGCGGTCTAGATCGATGGAGAAGCGCTGGTCCCAGGCCTGCTGCGAGCAGGGCTTCCAGGAGGTCTGTCCCACGGTGATGTTGTCCAGCTTGATGGCGGCCATGATCTCGAACGAGGTCTCGTCCTTCACCGAGTAGCTCTTGGAGCTGCTGCGCGAGGTCACGCCCTTGACGAAGCTCCGCAGATCGCCGGGACTCGAGCTGTTGTCCTTGTCGCGTCGCGAACGCCCCGGAACATCCTCCAGCAGGCCCTGGCAGCCCATCAGTCGCACCTCCAGCTTGCCCGTGACACTGGCACAGCGCCCCAGCGACGACACCGACTGGTAGGGCTTGCCCCCCAACAGGCCACCCTGCCCGGTCTGCAGCGATGTGTAGGTCACGGGCACCGGCGACGTCGACTGCTGCACGATCTGCAGCTCCGTCTTCAGCTGCTGGGCCGCAGGAGAGTCCACTGGCAGCTCCTGGCGCCGCAGATCCAGCGAATATCGCAAGAGATCCAGTTTCCTCGACGACTCCGACAAGCGACCAGTGGCCTACGAAAAGGATAAAGCGATTAATGACTTAGTCAATCATCTACTATAAATGTATTATATATACTAAGTAAGACCACACCAAAGGAAAGACACTACTTTCTTTTTTACAGACTATTTGATGACTTTATTACAACATTAAACATTAAACTGATTCAGCGCACAATCTGTGTGTATTCTTGTGTGAGGAACATTCGCGTTTGGGTTAAACCTAATCGAAAGAAATTCAATCCAGTGTGTCCAGGATCTTTGCGGGTTAATAGGGAGCGGGAGCGGTGAAGAGTGTTAAATGCAAGAGAAGGAAAGCTTTAAATTAGAAATCTGCGTGGCCTCAAAGTACAAAAGTGCAATAAACTGCACTGACCCGACCCAGTGGACCAATATAATGAAAGAAATATGGCATGCGGAAGTCATGCGAATATGAAACTATCGAAATCGATCCGAAAACCGAGCTCAGCTTGTGGCAGTGAAAGATCCTTAGAGAGCCTCTTATGATATAATTTAAGAGGCTCGATTTGAAGTACTTTTGCGATAGAGCAAAAGAGTGGATTGAGTGCGAAAGGCACACAATTAGACAAGTGGACATTTTTGAATGCGAGCGAGTGTCTGACTCAAACCCCTCCCTCATTCTCACTTATTCCATTCATGCCTCTTTCGCTTAAATGTCGTGCTAAAGCACAACTAAAGCACACATATGTGCAATCCTCTTTCCAGAGGCCTCTACTCTGCTACTCTACTACCCCACTGTTACTGTGGCCTCCTTAGCACTGGTCGCTCGCCCAGAGAGAAGGCTCTGCCGCGCAACTGGAACCGTTCGGCCAGCCATCGCTGGCAGCTCTCGCACTGGCAGTTGGGGTTCTTGGTGGGTCCCACATGGTGGCCGGGCTTGCGCATGGCCACCACATTGCCGAAGCGCCGTGTCTTCTCCAGGTGCTCGTGGGTGTAGCCCGACACGGTGGCGGTGGAGGCCTCGCTGGCCACGCTCGGGCTGTCGCGGGAAATCTCAAAGCGTCGCCCTGGTAGGGGGGAGGGCGTCACGACCGTTGTGCCGAATGTGCTGGCCGAAGTGGTGCTGGGCGGGGCCTCGCTGCCACAGCGCAGCACAGTGGTGGCCGCCGAAAGGAGCTGCGGGGAACTGCGCTCCGAGGAGGGCGATCCAGAGGCCCCCTGCACGCTGAGATTATCGCGGGCCTCGCTCTTCCAGCGGTAGCTCGGATGGAGCAGTCGAAACGGATCCGCACTGGCTGCAGAGGCGGGCTGTACTGGAGCCGTGACTGGCGGCGTTGGCTGGCCAGGATTGGGATGGATTGAGGGCCCAAAGAACTGCAGGAAACCGGGGCGATTGCGCTGCTGCATTTGCGATATCTGACGGCCCGGGTAGGTGTTGAACACATTCGTGTCGGAGAAGCCATCCGATTCGGAGGGGATCGTGTCGCTCCGCTGGAAGGAGTTGCGCTGCGATTGCACTTCTTTGATGGTCTGCAAATGCTGCTGGTGTTGGTGTTGATGCTGGTGCTGATGCTGGTGTGGATGCGGCAGTGGCAAGGTGGGGGCTGTAGTCTGGGGCTGGTCGAAGGAGTGCTGGCGCGACCAGAGCATCTCCATCTGGCTGATGCGTAGGCGATCCAGCGAGTTCTCGTAGTCGAAGCTATCCGATTTGGTCAGCCCAAAGTCTGCCAACGGGTTTTCCGGCTCGTCCGTTTCCTTCCACGAGGAGTCCACGCAGTCGGTGCCCGCTGCCACGCTGGAGATGCTGCTGCAGGTGGCATCACGGGGCATGGTCGAGTGCGAGGAGTTCGGGTAGGTGCTGCTGATGGTGTCGTCGCTGGGCTGCCGCATGTACTTCTGGCGCAGATTCGCCAGCTTGGCTGCCCGCTGGTCGCCGATGTGTTTGCGGAAGAGCAGCTGCTTCGATTCGGTCACCTCCTCGGCGGTGCTGCATTTGGTGATGGCGTGGCCCAGGCTCATCTGGTGGTTGTCCTTCGGCTCCTTCTGATGGCCCAAGCGACGCGGCAATGCTCCGCCAGAGATCCGCTGATGGCGCAGCAGCATCTGCTCGTTGTCCAGCACCGTTTGGGGAGTGGAATTGGAGTCCAGGTCGTAGCGCTTGCTCCCGGCCAGATCCGAGTCCGAGCTGGAGCTGGAGGACACCTCCACATCTGCCTGCTGCTCGTCGTCCGCCTCCTCATCCCCCTCGGAGCCCGTGCAGTACACATCGATGTGGACGGTGCGGGGCTTCTTCTCCGCCAGGTTGGGGGGCATCCGCGGAGAGGTTCCTCCTCCCCCATGATGTCCCCCAAGAGGCGGTATCCTAGGCATCGAGGCCGACTTGAATGTGGACGAGGGCGTGGTGGGCGTGGGCGTGGGCGAGTAGGTTGGCTGCAAAAATCAATCGATTAGGAAAGAGCGCAAGGTGCATCCTCTTGAGCCTTGGCTTACCACATAGGTGTTCGCCTCCTCTGCCTGCCGCCTGGTGGCAAAGTTCATGAGGGCCTCGGTGGTGGCCCGACGCTGCTCGTAGGCGGTACGTCGACGCTGTTGCGGCTCCACCAATTGCGGCTCCTCGTGGTCGCTGGTCTGCGAGAAGGCATCGCGCAGCTGCTGGGCCCGCACCTTGTTGTGGTAGACGAAGGGCTCGTTCGGTCCTGCGGCCGCTTCCTGCGGCAGGAAGTCCGCCACAGCGGAAACCATGATGTTGCAGGTGCTCCGACAGCGCGTTCCGCACACTTGAGCTGTGGCGCCACCGCCACCACCGCCTGGAGCGGATGTCCCCGCGGGGAGGGCACGCGACGCCTGGGGACTGCCGAAGGCCGAGTCCGCATTGGTGGTGGTGGCCGAGGAGTTGGTGGACCGGAAGCTGGTCCCCATCGTGTTGGCTGTCTACAAGATGAACGTGGGATGAGCCTCTAGTGCTCTGCGCTGCCACAGGACTTACCTTGTCGACATCCTGCTCTGTTTCGGGTTCATCGGAGGGCGTGCACCACTTGTAGACCACACGCACGGGATGCACTGGCTGCACTGGCCCTGTACCGCACTCCTTGTGCACCGCCTCTCCGGCACGGGCAAACGTGAGATGGGCACGCACTGTCCACTCGGCCGTCAGCTCGTGGGGAAGCGGTGCAGCTCCAGGAGCCGCCAACGAGGCAGTGGGCGTGGCCATCACTCTCCCTTACGCACTTTCGTTGCCAGAACACATTGCGGTTCTAAACTGTTTGTTCAAGGTGCCATCTATATCGGACACATGGATACACTCACGCACAAATGTATGTATGGCACTATATACGATGGATGTACATATGTATATATATTCACACACGATATCTTTTATTCTTATAACGGTGGCTAAAAATACATATCTTGAAACCGTTTTTGATAGTTCTATCGTTCGTGCGAAATGCCCGAAAGCTGAATTCAAACATTTATTGTTTAATTTTTTTTTTCTTTGATTATACGCCTGTTTTACAGTCGAAAGTGCCTATGAAGGACATGCCGATGAATATTTAATTTCAATACTGCATCTTTAGAGCCTATAGAGTCTATAATTTTGACATCTATAATTTGCAAAGAAAAAATACATTTTTAAACCCTTTTTTGTTCAAACATTTGCAACTTTTCAACTGCCATCCTTCATAGGCACTATTGACTGTATTCACTTTTGTTTTTCCGTATTTTTAGCTTCATTCAGCCGCACACACACCCACACACAAAAAACGCGAGGGGTGGAACTTAAAACACTTTCGTTTTTGAGTATTTTTCGACTTTTGTAAAAATTGTGTGTCTAAATTTATGTGATTTTTATTTTTAACAATTGCAAGATGACCCCAAAAAGACCCTCTCACGATTTGAGAGCAGGAGGGAGAGAGGCGTGAGAGAGGAGTGCAGAGGCTGATGATCCGCTCAACGAAAATTACGCAATTGGCAGGTGCACGCGGCGTATGCGTAATATTGAGTTTGTGTATCAGGTGTGTCGGCTCCCGGCTCCCAGCTGCGGCTCCCATTTCTTTTGTTTTCTCATGTGTGTGTGTGTGGGTCTGATTTTCCTCTTGGAGTTTTCTTTGATCTCGTCCATGATTATTATTATTTTCATATTATTACATATTCATAGAGTTTCGAACGAGCACGAACACGGAACACGGAACACGGAACGCGAAACGCGCGGACAATAATACAAAAATCTCTATCGGGGGAAGCGTCAGAGGCAGCAACAGCAACAGCAACGTCAACGGCAACACAACTTGAACTGAAAGCAGCAGCGGAAAAGCTGCTTGGGAAAATTCGCCAGAGAAACAAACGAAACGGTAAGAGATTTTTCACATTTTCTGCGGCTGGCCAGAGAACTTTGCTCACGCTCGGACGAGATTTGTTGCCCGATCCAAACAGATGTTTAGATATATCCCCCCCAAACGACAGCGCGCGCTCTCTCTCCCTCTCTCTGTCTGGCAGCAACAGTTCTAAAAATGTTGTGACCCAAAGGGCTGAAAGAGGAGGGAGTTTGTTTATCATTTCAGTGATGTCTGAACGAATAAAAACTTCAGAGTTCCATCATTGATGGCACACGTCTGACAAGGGGATCAATGTACAGTGCGTTTCACAGCCATAGGCCCAACTAGTGTGGAAATCTTTCCACTGTTGGGGGATCTTATGGTGCTGGTACTGTAACGCCCTGTACTTCCTCCTGAGATCAACTCCAGCCGACAGATGCAACAGGCGTCGCCAGTCGTCGCCGCAAACAAGCCGCAAAACAAATAAATACGAGTATGGGAACGGCAATGGGAATCTGGCCACAAATATAATATTTAGGCCAGAATCCGAGCTGTTGCGGAAGTGGAGAGGGAAGCCCCCTTACAGCCGACAGATAAATCACCCAGAGAGTCACGTCCCAGAGAGCCACGCGACAGGAAACGCACACAGCGGACAGCTCATTGGGAAATCCACGAAAAGAAGCAAAAGAAGAAGTGCCTTTCCTTGGATTGTGAAATTGGGAAAACACTCGTACGGAAATTGTCGCACAGTTTTCCGAGTGACTCTCGGAATGCTCTTGCTCTGAATTCCAGGAATTCATTTGCCCAACAAATTAATTCCTGGGAACTACATTTGTTCAACGAATCTTTGGGCAGAGTTTTCTAATTCCAAGAAATTGTTAAATCTTAAAGGGATCTTTCAATGCAACAATTGTTTTGCTTAAAGGAGTTTTTTCTGGATCTCTTTTCCTTCAGAATTATTCTGGAAACCGAGAATGTTTCTGAATTATAGAGCACTGTTTTGCTGGCGACAAACTGCACATAAAAACCGACAAATCCCCAACCGAAATACCCTATAGAAAATTATTAGGGCAGGCCCTGGGGCACACTTGCCAAATCATTTTCGTATTCGGTTTTTTGGTGCCGACCAAGTAAATGCGACACATTCCACGTCCATTAAATTAATGAGACGACAGTTAGCGGGCGAAACTAAAAAAAAATATACTAAATGAAAACCAAAACGAACGAAAAACGGACTGAAACAGCCGCATAATTAGCCTCGTTTCTCGTTCCTTCTTGTTCCGTGGACAGAAATCACGTATACGTATACGTACGTATATGAATCATACGCCGTGTGGCCATATGGCACACACCTGAGCGTCAGAGAGGCAGATATGAGACGCGCTCTGCTTACCTGGCCACTGGCCAGATCTAATTAACTCTAGGATTACCCCTCCTTTGGGGTCTGGGGTCTAGGCACTCACCTCCTGCAGCGCCTTCTTGTCTGGGGCTCGATTCGCCGTCTGGAGAGTTCGTATAACATTCTTGGCTCCGTCCACGACGGCCGCCTCGATGCGCAGCCGATGACGCAGCTCCTCGATGCGCTCCTCCAGCGTCGTCTCCAGGCTCTGCGGCTGGCCATCGTCCATCAGCTGGCGCGTGGCCTTCAGCCGATCGGCCTGCTCACGATTCTGTTTGACCTTGATGATCCGCAGCCGCAGAAACTCGATTTTGGCCTTCGAGTCGGCCAGCATTTGGTGGGCCTCCGCCAGCAGCTTCTTGTCGCAGCCGGCGCCCAGTGACTGGATCATATTCTCCGCCCCCGTCTTCACCTTTATCTCGATCTGCAGCTGCTTCTCCAGCGACGTCAGGACTTTGTCGTTGGCGGTGGAGGGAGCGCCGGTGCCACCACCGCCCCCCAGGGCACCGCCCATAATTATCCCGCCATTGGGATCGATGTTGGCATTAATCGATTCTGTAAAAGACAAATACAAGAGGATTAGTTTCCAGAGAAACGAGAAATGAGCCTCAGACGGGGCTCTTCCACTCCCATTTATATTCCACTTTCAATGGAACCTGCACACCCTTCAGATATGGCTATCAATTATCAATCTTAACCACTGGACAAGGCTTTTTTCTGAGGATTTTACAACCCGATAACACGATAAGATCTCTTGCAAAAGGCATTGGCTATGGATTCGGCAAATCAATGCTCCCGCAAGACATGGCATATTGATGCTCGACCCGGGACGCACAAGGGAATTTTTGAAAAGAGAATGCCCAAAAATAATACCAAAACAACATAAATGTCGTGTGCATGACGCGCCACATGAACGCTCGATTCTCGTTAATAGGGGACTTTTTTCGGGCCACTCCCAATACACAAAAATTCTTCATCGGCTACCAACGTATCACAGCGGAGAGTTTCCTGTCCCCAGAAGTAGAGCCTCTGTTTTGTTGAAACTGTTGTATTTCCTCCTTGAATTTTTTCCTTTTCGTTGGCATTTCGAATAACTTTTTATTCAATATTTTATGACTGCTGAGGCGACGAATGATAGTTTTTCTTTGTTGATTTCTTTAATTTCCGACTTGTTTGCCCCCTCCCTTTCTCTCCTGTCACTTTTGCGTCATGGCTTCTGCTCAGCATGTCGTTCAATGTACATATGTGTGGATATTTATGCCTTATGCCACACATAATCAGCTCTAAATCGTTTGCAGTTATGCAGCTCTCTGTGGCAGAAGCTGCCAAACCCGTCAATCATTTCATATGTAGCACCCGACTCCGGCGCCACACAATGCTGCTGCATCTCCATTCTTAGCTTCTTTCGCTTCTGCGGGTGTCTGTGTCTGTGTCTCTATCTGTGGGCCAAACACGGAAGCTAAACAGCAGATAAATAGAATGTCGAGCTGTCTCCATTCGAAATTGTAAGCAAAACCGACAAAAGCACGAATAAAGCGAGTCAGAGGCAGCACCATTTCATGACAGTTGTGTCAATAGTTAGCTCAAACCAACAATAGAGAGAAAAAGAACCATTTCGGTGTCGCTTGTTAGCGAAATATGGAAGGGGTATCTAACAAACGAGCATCAGATCTGAATGGAACACTTCTGGAGGACAAAGAGAGAGAGAGAGATAGAGAGAGAGAGAGAGTGGCCAACAGGTGAGTGGCTTAAGTGGCGAGTGCGTGACAAAGGCTCGTAAAAGACGGCATGAACTCATCCCCAAAAGAGCTATGACACTTTCCACACTTGTCTTTATTTGCCTTTACTCTACAAGTGGAAGGGTACTTGAGGTTTTTTGGGTGGGTACGCTCTAGTGCTGCAAAAGAGAGTGCCGGAGAAGGCACACACTGGAGACCTGGGACCGAGAAGGCGAAAACAACATATGTGCACTACGTACATGTCGTGTGCGGGACAACGCTCATCTCGTTGCTTGACTCGAGTATCGAGAATGCCAGTTTCAGCGCTTAGTACCTGCACTTCCCTAAATTTCCACTGGAATTTCCAGTTTGTTTGGGTTATAGCCTCGCTACTACCTGGAGCACACCCTTCCTTCGTTCGTTTTATTGGGAATACACTGTACTTGTATTACTCAACGAAAAAAAACTTGTTGCATGGAAATGCGTGTGTTTTACTGCCGCCTGTCGCTCTCTCGTGTAATTGCAGCAGTTTATGAACGAAAGACCATTGGCTTTTGGGAAAGTTGTTGGGCTTTGTGGGGGGGTTGGGGGGTGGGAGTGTTTGTCTTTAATGGATTTTCGAAATATAAATAAAGCGGAGAGGCGGAGGGTAGTCCATCTGTTGCACAACTTACCTTGTCCGTTGCTGTTGACGGCCGTGTTGGCCGACGTTAGGAGTATTTGACTCTCGAGCTCCTGCAGCTCGGACTTGAGTTCCGCCAATTTGCTCTTGCTCTTCTTCACGAGCACCGCCACATCGCTGAGGGAGCGCCGGTCCTTGGCCACCTCGCGCAGCTTCTCGGCGCCCTCTTTGATCTTCAGCTCCTTGCGGATCTCGCGGCGAATCGC